TGTGAAACTATTTGGAAACGTTGTCTTTTCTACACCCTTTTCTGAAATAAGTGGCACTCAGACATTGTGTTCTTATTACTTTTGGAAATGAAAAGTCAGTATTTGTGGCGATGCTGCATGTTATATGTTTGTTTTGTTTCTGGTGCTGCCTGCCTCCTTAAGCATTTTCTCACAGTTATTGTTCTGGTTGGGGGGGGGGGGGAGGACGAAAAAAGTTCTTTCCTCTTCTTTCTTGAAATATGGAAAAGTGTTGACATTTTAAGGTGTTGCTCTTATGGCAAGATATTTACTTCACATCACTTATATAAAATTAAGCCTCCCACTCCACCTTTACATATCTGAGAGGCCATCCAGCCGGCCAGCAATTTGGAGAGTAGCATACTCAGCCTCTTAAACTATTTTTCTAAGTTCTACACAAATTTTTATTTTGATGGTGAAGACTTCAGACCTTCACAGGTGGCTTCATTGCCCTGAGTCACTTATCCATAGCTTGGATTTAGAGGCTTAGGAACAGTTCAAGCAAAGCTTTTCACTGTTAGATTTCTTCTGAACTGTAGTTTTTGCCGTTGTACCTTGCCCAGTCTCCCTCCACTTGCTCATCCTTCTGCTGCTGTATAGACAGCATGCGTCTGGGATAAGCACACATGCTTGTGTATAGCTTTGCTTTTTCATAAGTCAGTCTGCAATTTTGGTTTCTGAAACCTCAAAAAGCATGACGGTTCCCTGAGACTAAGACTAGGGAAGAAGTCTAGCAATGCCTGAGAATCTGTAATCTAGGTATCCTCTGCACTATGAAAACCCAGTTACAATGGGGAAAACCAGGACCCACCATCAACAACATACTGTAATCACAGCAAGACTTTTCTCATGTGTAACGCTCAACCCAATCATTAAGTATGAGAACTTTGTAATCGTTCTTCACAGTGCTCCCATTATAATATGGTGGTATTTTTCAGGCTCAATTTAGATCAGAAAATGCATTTCTAGGAAAGATGTCACTCAGCTTGCATTTAATAACCTTACTTACTAATACTGTATAACAAGTACAAACAGTGTGATGTAAAATGAGTTTATCATAACCCAGTAATCTGCTTTTCATAGTCATTTGCTTTCAACCATTGCAAAGACCCCGGAAAAACATCAAACCAGGTGATACTTCAATATATACAAACTCTAATCTACCTCTAATAGATAATACCTAGGTTTTTCTAACCTCTTCCATTTTGGGCATTACCAGCAGAATTGGATCTAAACTCAGTTCCATTTTTTAACTTCATTTTATTGCCATTGTCTTCTTACTTGACCTATGGATTTTGATATCCATAATGCAACCAACAGTCATTGTAAGTGCAGTCTCGCACCATTAGTGACCACGACGCACTGCATGGATATCAACAGTTGTCAAAGCATATGCCAGCTCAGCTGTCAGCAATGCTGCAAAGGGTGCACCGGACTGGGACCAGCCAAAGATAGAAATCCTGGGAGGGGCTTGGGATAATGCAAGGGAGGAATAGAAGCAGGTTTGAGGCGATAGGAAAGACAAGTAAAGGAGATGACTGAAATGGTCTAATGGAACTTAATCAGCTACAGGTGGGTCGTGTTTTCAAATTTTATTTTATTTTAACTAAAAGGACCTCAGAACTCTGAAGGCCAAGAGTGGTTTGTATAACTTCTTCTATAAACTGAGATAAAACAACACATTTTTGATCCCAGGACATTTTGTTAATATCATTAGCAGCTTCAGTCATACTCCAAGTGAGCTGCCAAAAAACATGAAATTTTTTACTAAGTCGGAGTGCCAGGTGATACTGTTTTTTCCATGAATGGAGTGAAAGGCCCACTTTTCCCACTGATTATAATCTTTTATTCATTTGTGAAGTTAAAATGAATGCCACAGGCATTCATACTGCTAAGTCAATCAGTCTGTGGATAGAAGTGTGTGTACTTGTGCATATATGGATAAAAAGGCTGAGAGAAAGAGGAGCAGATTCACTAGTTAAGGGAACAATTTTCTTAAAAACGAGAGGGAGGAAAGAATGTTTGTAAAGTTCTTACAAACTCTTAAAAGTACAGTACAGACTATTTTAATGAAGCTTTTTACAGTCAAACTTTTTCAAGCTATTTTTTAAAAATGTGTTCTCTTAACCAGGCCAAGATAGTACAAACATTAAAGGAATTCTTTAAAACGTTTTAAAAACTTACTAGTGACCTCAGTATGGTCCCATTTAACATACCCTGGGGAACATGTGTATGAAATACAATGTGGTTTGAGGTTTTCCAAACAAAACAAACTTAAAAGAGAATACCATTTTTAATAGAAACTATTCAAATTCTCCCAGAAGATAAAACAAAACAAAACCAGGTACGGACTGTACTGCAGCTAAGTATGAAAGAACAAAGATCTTTGCTGGTTAAGTGAGGGGACTAAAGGGTTTTTTTGTTTCCTTTAAAACATTACCCTCCCCTTTTTCGCAATGTAATTTCTTTCACAGTTCTTATACAGTGTTATTACTTTAATTAAATGACTGGCATATATAAGAAGCAACAAAACAACCCAGAAATATTGTGGGCAGTGTAATAAATTTTTTGTTATCTGATGTTCTACCACATTAAATCCATTCATGCTGATGAATTTTACTATATGAATGCTGCCAGCCGAAAATAAATATGAAAGCCATGCAGTGCTACTTCCCCCCACCCCCCCCAAAGCAGTTACAGTCATACCACACAAGTTGAGTACATCAGGTGTAAGACATCACCCTGATGCATCACTTCTGAGAAATATGGGGAGGGAAATATCGGAGCTGAAATATCACAGCTGGCCCTGATTTCAGCTCCTGCCAAACACCTGCAGACTCTAAAAGGATACCAAAACAAAACTCCACCCTGTGGCAAGAGGCCATCCCTTAACAACCCTTCCCTGACTTTGCATCACTATAAAAATTAATTTAACATTTTTTACAGAAACCTTAGTCTTCCTGTCCCAGAAGGCCATTACAGTTCCTTTAGCCATTTCTCTGAATATGCCTCAGAAAAAAGCGCTGTAAATTGAAGTATTGAAATATCTGATAGCTGGAAAATTACTGATGTTTTAAGTTTATTATTTGTGGAAACTTATGAAGGTGGTAGATTTTTTTTTATTAACCTCCAGATCGTCTCTTATTTTGGAAGTCATTTCACTTGAACACATCCTGGCAAAAATGTCCTAGCATCTGGTAAAAGCTTCTACAAGCAGTGTTGTGAACACACAGAACAGCAAAAGATATAAAGTGTGTTGTGGGTTTTTTTTTGTTTTTTTTTTAAATCATCTTATGCATGGTTGTTGTTGGTTTGGGTTTTTGTTTTGGTTTTTTAAATATGACCATGTTTTAATTGTTAATCTTTGTTGAAATAGACTTTTGTGGCCTACTGAGGGTTGTCCCAAGTCGAATGAAATTATATTCATGTCCATAATACTGCAGGGAGTTTTTACATATAGAAGTTTCTGCAACTGAAAAGCAGTTGATG